AAACGATAATCTTTGTTGGCGCGGACTGATTTTAAACATACAAGTAGTACCGGCTATGCGTTATTACTTTGGAGCGGTCATTATTTGAAAAGAACGAACCTGCAAATGTCTCAACTGACCAATCAGAATCAAGCATTCCAGAGAGCCGTGTAATAATGAAAATTAACATTAAAACTGATGAAAAAACATTCAATGCAATTTTTTATGCAAAACATACCTTTTATTAAATCGTTCACTGAATCTTTTTACTAAATTTTGGATAATGTAATATAGCCTATTGATCAATTGATTGGACTGGTGTGTCCTTTTTTGCCATAGCAGTGTGGCCGCCCACCTTTGAAAAATGTTACCAGTAGAAACAATGACCTGTGATGTGTGGACTTGACAACCTCAAAATCTGTCTGCATGTTCATAGGACTGCACAGAAAGCTTATGCCAGTGCACCGGCACCCAGGAGGAGTGTCTATGTGTGGCCCTGGAGAGTTATGCTAAGGCTTGTGCCAATCAGGATTCCCCGGTGGGTGACTGGAGGAAGGCTACAAACTGCCGTAAGTGCGCCAGCTGTCACCTGCCCCGGCAAGAGCAGGATATGCTATTGTCCAGCGTGGCATCTTCTGAGAGGAAGTCGACTTAGCAAACCGCCAGTGCCACGCCTGGCAGGCTTCACTGCCGCACCCCCCCCTCACCGTCCGAGGCAAAGTGAAACTGGCCAGTTAGCTTTGCCAGGGTGGGGTTGCTGGCAGTGAAGCTTGCCCAGGGTACCACATCAGCTTCAAACTGCATTGCCTCTCTGTGTTCAAACCAAGGTGTGACCCTTTAATTTGCATTTCAGCTATAAAGTGTCCCAACAATCAGAGGTTTGACTACGACACTCAGGCCTGTAATCATACCTGCCGGTCTCTGTCGGGCCCCGACCCAACTTGTGATGTGGATGACGCCCCGGTGGACGGCTGTGGGTGTCCTGATGGCAGCTTCCGGAATGACCAACAGACCTGCGTCTCTCAGCCAGAATGTGCGTGTTACTACCAGGGAATCGTCTTCTCAGGCTCTGACCCAACTTACATCAAAGGGCAAAAATGGTGAGTTTCACAAAGTCCGTTGTTCTGCAGGTGGCATCACTGGGATCTGATTGAAACATGAAGCTTAACACCTACTGGCACAGTTAGGCTACGTTCACTCTGCCATGCTGAAGTGACTCAAATTGGATATTTTGCCTTAATGTGACACATATCTGATCTTTTCAGGGCTGTGTGGACACGCAAATCTGATCTTTTCAAATCGGATTTGTGCTGCTTTCATATGTGGTACTAAATCTGATATGTATCCGATTCGCGGCCATGCGACCTGAATGTGACGCTCAGATCGGAATTCATGTGGCTTTTTGCTTATACGCATGCGCTGACATCAGCCTGCACCGGTAGCGCAGGAAGGTAAAAATGGAGGAGAGCTGCGATAACAGTCAGTGGAAGGATGGAGAAGGTGGGGATTTAATTGATATTTGGGGTAATGAATCTGTTCAAGCTAAACTGGAAGGAACCTATCGTAATAGAGTAGTATTTGAAATAATTGCCAAAGAAATGGACACGAACGTGGCTACAATGCCAACGAAAAATAAAGAGCCTGAAGTCAAAGTTTAGACTTGAAGTCAAAGCAAAAGACTCGAATCAGCGCAGCGGTCATGGCCGCACAACGTGCCAATTTTACGACCAGCTTTCTACTCGTGTAAAAACGTATCAATGTGCGCATGCATGACGTTTCGGAGGACCGGTGCGTTCACATTACAGTCAGATACAGGTCACTTGTACTTATGAATGTGAATCGTCAAGATAGACAAATCCGATCTGAGCAAAAAATCAGAATTGTACGATGTGGCTGGAAGTGTGAACGTAGCCTTATTGTGGTCATGCTAATCTGAACGTGTACAAATGTCATCTTTGTTTATTATAGCACGTGTGAAAATGGAAAACCCAGCTGCTCACCAATAGAAGGTAAAGTCAATCCTTCACCTAATGACATATTGTAATGTAATGTGCGTCCAGTCGCTGATCTGAGTAGGACAGCTTCTACAAAGTTTATGTTACACTCTATTTCCTGTTTCAGTGTATACTGATTAATATATTATCAGTCCATGTATTTAAAAACTGCTTTTCCCAGGGAGGACAGTGTTGCTTATTGTTACATGCCGTAAGGGTTTCGGATATCCACCAGTCTCCCAGGGTATGGAAAGTGGACATTCAGGATTTGAAGTCAGTCGTCATATCGGGCTTGTTCCTGTGTTGCAGGAAAATGAGGTGGATGCATATTTTTCCATTTTTGAGCGCATTGCTACGACTTTGAACTGGCCTAGACATTTCTGGTCCCTGCTATTACAGTGCAAGTTAGTGGGTTAGGTGCAGAAAGTATGTTCGGCCCTAGAGTTAGAGCAGAGTCTAGACTACAACATCGTGAAAGCTACTGTCTTAAGGGCTTATGAACTTGTACCTGAAGCTTACTGGCAGAACAATTTGTTTAAAAAATGGTGCTCCGCTAGTGGTGTGTTTCACTTCGATTAGCTCAAGGAGCTATTGCTATTAGAAGAATTTAAGAATTGTGTTCCCGATTGAGTCATCATGTATTTGAAAGAGCAGAAGACAGAAGCTAAATGGGATCAGCAGGCTTTATTCTCGTCGACTGGAACACAGGGCCAGGGTCAGAGGTCAGAGGGGGCGGAAGGGGAGTGGCCAGAAACTGGGAGGCGGGCTGAAGCAGCAACTGGCGAGTGGAGCTTGGGGCAGAAGACTGAGGTGTCCTGTAGACATACCCGAAACCCTTACGGCACGTAACATTATGATCATTAATGTTTGAGTATGAGTTTGGTTCTGCAGATAAACATATACTCTGCATTATGTACATTTTATACAACAACCAACAACATACTATGTGAGATTATAAAAATACGTCAAAACAATAACTTATTTACAGGTTCAATTGAGAAACATAAATAGCCATTCAGTGTAATAGATTAGAGTACAGCTATATAAACACATTACTGATCCTCAAGTGTGATGCATCTTCAGAAATCTGCACCGCAAATAATTCTTATACCATAGGTAGGCTAAAACTAACACAGACCATTGTTTGTTGATTTGTTGATAAATTAAGTTAAACTACTATTGACAGTACTCCATAAAAGGGCTTTATATAATATTACCAACATTAACAGAACATGATAAAACTGAAACTGGAGTTACATTGGGATTCAGATGTATATTAAGTTATATTATCATGTTACTATTATGCTATCAAACAAGTCTAATGCAAACAAATAACAGCTAAAGGCCATAAATACATAAGCAGTTAATCTTAACTTGTCATTAGCTTCACACAGACTATGTCACGAATAACAACATATAATAGAAAATTACGAAGTACACAATTTCATTTTCTGCAATAAACATAACAGACTGAAGGTTCTCTGCTGAAATTCGTGGGCACATGTACATACACAAAAAGCCGACCATTGCATAGTGCAGTTCTTCCCAACCCAGTTCTTGGGGACTCCCAGACAGTCCACGTTTTTGCTACCAGGAACTGGGAGGAAGTGGACATGTGAACTGTCTGGCAGGGAGCTGGAAGGGAGCGAAAACATGGGTCACCAGGGGGTCCCCGAGCACTGGATTGGGAAACACTGCTGTAGTGGTTTAAAACGAAACACCATGTCAAACCTAAGATGTGAGGCAGTCAGACAAAAAGCCCAGCAACACACTGTATGTCGGCATTTTCTGCTGTTACTAAACTGGTTTTCAAATGAAAATTGAGAATAATATATAAATAACAACTAAATAAAAAACAAAGTATGAAAACACTGCTCCGTATGACAAAAAGTAAATTTTTTATGATTTATTGTTTTATATTTCAGTTTGCATTCCATTCAATTTGAAGTAAAAAATACTCCAATTCCTTGAAGTACCCTTAGTTAATAATTTCAATGATACTGTGATAACTATTAAAATGTTGAGATAACATATTTCGCCATATCACCAAGCCCTGCAGTAGACAGATCACGGCCAACACAACGGACCTGGAATGTCTGCATCTCATAAGCTCCTTTTTGGCAATAAAGTTGTGGGAAACGGTGTTCTGACTGTGTGTGTGGTTTTGCAGAGTGTCCTTCACCAAAGATATACGAACACTGCTCATATGCATCTGGAAGTATGGCAGCGAGAACGTGTGAAGCCCTGCATAAGCCAAAAGTAAGTGCAGACAACTGAGAAGTAATAATACAGCTCAGAGAAAGGAGTCTTTGTAAAGAGCTTTGCCCATCCGAGTTAGTCTGACATTGTCTTGTAGGAGTAAGCAGGTGTTTTGTGAAATGAAGACCTGTATAAACCGACAAGATGTGCATTTCCGTCTTTTCAGAGTGACATCTGTCAGGTCGGGTGTCGCTGTCCAGATGGTCAATACGAAGACAATTATGGCGCATGTGTTACCCAGGAGAAATGCACTTGCACATTTGGGGAACAGACATACAAGTCGGGAGACAATGTACAATTGAAGTGCCACAGTTGGTAAGTCAAGTCTTCTTCACTTTTACTTCACGTCGCTGAGATCGTAAAGCAGGAACACCTTGGACTGTAATGCTACTACTTTGCAGGCACACAATCTCAGACACAGTAACACACAAAATCAATGTCAAAACACTGTTTCAGTTTTTTGTATCCATCCCAATGAGCCACCATGCTGCTCTAGTAAATTACTATTTTTAATCATATAGTGTAACAAAGTCCTCAGTAGAAGCTACACACTTTGTGTAATTAGTAACAGTTCAATCAGAATAGTACAGATCCCAAAGAGGCCTCCTGACTGTATCCTAACTTCACAGCACTTGTACAAATGGGACGTGGGACTGTATATCCCTGCCGTGTCCTGGGAAGTGCCAAGTGTTTGGGAACGGCTACTACCAGACGTTTGACTCCAAGTGGTACCACTTCGACGGGCACTGTCAGTACACGCTGGTTCAGGTGG